AACATGATCAAAATATATTTACATTGAAAAATTGTTTAAGATAATAAAAAACAAAATACATAAAAATAAAACAATTAAGTGGAGGTAGGCTAACAGTAGATCTTCACCTTTCCTCCTTGCCTCCAAATCCAGCTCCCCAGTCTCTCCCCTGCCTCTGCAACAGGCCATGTGCTGCAGCCTCCCCTCTCCCTGCTCCCATCTCTAAGGGTTTACACAGATTTCTTCCAGCCTGTCTCCCCACTAATCCCATTATTCCAGCCCCCAACTCCAGCAGGCATTCCCCGGGACTCCATCAGCCAAGGCTACCACAGAAACAAGTAGGTCAGCTAAGCGCATAGGTGAGCTAGAGACAGATCTTCACTCTCCCTCTTTTCCAAGTCCAGTGTCCCAAGTGTCATCCTCAGCTTGGTACAGAAACTTCCTAAAATATGTACATATATGAAGGTTATCTAAATGAAACTCCCAAACAGAGAGACAGAGCTCTAAATGGACATCTCTTGCACCAAATGAAGCTTCCCGTAGTGGGAATGGGTTACATCTAATTGAGTTGTTGGATACAAGGGTCTCCTGGGAACTCTCAAGAATCCAGGCTATTGACAAGGCTATTGGTTGTTCTCTGCACACTGATATCACTACCCCAGTGCTGAAGACAATACTTCTCTAACTCACTGAACACGGAGAAGTTAAGCTGGTACCTACCCAGAACTTCAGTCTGAAGGTATAAGTGTTCTTGGTACTGGAAGGCACTCTGTACATGACCAAAGAGAAAGGGAAACACCAACCCAGCTACAAATGCTTGGATCTACAGTTGTATCCTGTCTGCAGGATATGCTAGTGAAAGGTTGGCACAAAGCTTGTGGGAGTAATCCACCAATATCTGATTTTACTTAAGGTCCACTCCTCGAGATGGGACCCATGCCATTACTGCTTTGGTGATCAAGAAACCTGAGACTAGATAGCCCAAAGACCTAAGGTTAAACCAAATAGTACTGTTCTACTAAAGGAACCTAACAATAAAACGAGACCTTTTCTACCCATAGATCAGTGCCTTTCTCAGCCATCAGCACAGAAGTTTCTCCCTGCATCAGATGGGAACTAATACAGAAGCCCACAGACAGATAGTATGCAGAGGGGACACTCCCTCTTCAGTGAAATATCTCCATCTAATCCTTCCCTAGTAGGGTCCCTACTAGCCTGCAAGGATTGGGGTCCTAGATCTAAAAGGAGAAGTAGACACATGCCCTAAGAACCTGAGTCCAACCAATAGTCACTTGGAAATGAAAATTTAGTTTTCTCTACGGGAGTCTCGCTGGGGAAACAAATTATTCTTAAGGGTGGGCTGCATGCCCAGCAGTAGACAGGCAATGGAAAACGAACCCAGCTGCTTCCTTGGAGGTTCCTGACAATATAATGTTGTGTCAGGGATCTCTCTCTCTCTTCAAATTTTTATTTATTTTTTACTTTATTCCCCCATCTCTCTTTGCCCTATAGACTCTTTGAGTATACATTATGGCTTCCAGCTTTTTGTGTTTATGGGTTTCCTGTGTGTGTCAATTTGTCAGTCTCTGTATCTTTATCTGTATTTTTTTTTCCGTCGGGCTCTTTTCCTCCCATTTGTTTTGTCCTATTCTGGTGTGTTTTTATTTCATTTTATTATTCTGTAGAAGCCCTTTTGCTTTATAATGGGAGACGGAAAGGTTGTGGATCTAGATGTGAGGGGTGGTGGGGAGGAGCTGGGAGGAGCAGAGGGAGGGGAGAAAAAACTATGTTCAATAAAAGAAAAATATTGTTCTTTGCCAAATGTATACATTTACATAATATATATTTTTTTTTTACCCATTAATCTCTCTCATCTTTCAGGGAACCACCTCTTTTGCTACTCAAGTCCTCCTGCTATTTGCATATCTTTAAAAAACTATTGTTTGAATGTTGTATGTTTCTGTCTCTGTGTGTGTGTATGTGTGTGTGTGTGTGTGTGTGTGTAAGAGAGAGAGAGATTCCATAATTCCTGAGCGAGGTAACCCAGACCCAAAAAGATGAACATGGGATGTACTCACTCATAATTGGTTTCTAACCATAAATAAAGGTCATGGAGTGTATACCTGGTGAACCTAAAGAAGCTAAATAAGAAGGTGAACCCAAGGAAAATCATATAGTTATCCTCTTGGCTATGGGAAGTAGACAAAATTGCCAGGGAGAAAATTGAGATCTTGGGGGT